AGGCATGAAACAAAGATATCCATCGTCAAAGATGATATTTTATTATTTTGACGTAGAAAATTGCTTTGTGACGATGACGGTCGCGGAATAGCAGACGCAGATCGTAAGTTCAAGATGCAGTTTTATGACGTCATACCACGTGATAGACCGAAGTATTACAACAGAACCAATGTCTACATACAACATCATGTGTTGTGACTAGTTTGAAATGTAATTTTGTTGAGTGTGGGTTGCTTCATTTTAATGTAGATGGCCTCCAATATCTGAAGCTTTTTTTTTTTTTACTGTGTTTGTGTAAGTATTATTGTGTTATCACAACTAATATTTGTCTGATATGATGTACGTGGCTATGTCTTAGAAATGTTACTTAATAGGACTAAGATCAGAAAGTTAACAGGTAAGTCAGCGGGACAATGTGGCTGTAGTAAAATCAATATAGCATCAGTGATATAATCTATGAACGGGCATGTAAATCGATACACTACATTGGGTTTTGTAGAGGATTTAGTTGTGTGGTTGTAAGGTCATCTAAAACTATGAGGTCGATTGTTTTAAATTTTTTTTATATTTGATGAACTTATTAATGGGTTTAACATTTCTACTTACTATGTTTTTTTTTCAGTTTTTATCATGGTTGTAATTGTTATGCATCTGATTACAATGGTAAAAGTTAAGGTTATATATTTTTTTTTATGTAGAATATTATTATCAATTTTGTTAGAGGTATTATATATAAACTTGATTTCAATACTTAATTAGCTTCCGATCCTTAGTTATGACTAATTAATGATGAACATGTCATTTTCGTTTATGATCGATTTCGCCAAATTCTTCTGTTAAGATTGGAGAATAATTATACACTCTTATTTCTCAAAATAGAGTTCAGTAGTGTTATAAAAAGATTAAAAGGTTAAAAGATATCTTTATTTCTAAGATACAATGATTCAGAACTTAATGGGACAATTTTGCTGTTAAAGCATATAATATAAAATATAATATAAAATATAATATAAATATAAAATATAATATAAATATAAAATATAAATATAAAATATAATATAAATATAAAATATAAATATAAAATATAATATAAATATAAAATATAAATATAAAATATAATATAAATATAAAATATAATATAAATATAAAATATAATATAAATATATAAAATATAAATATAAATATAAAAAATATAATATAAATATAAAATATAATATAAATATAAAATATAATATAAATATAAATATATAATCAAACAAATCCTTTCCCCTCATATGCGAAGTAGGCTATTTCGGCAGATGACCAAAGTGGTTGCCTGTCTTTTCAATCCCGGTGTGGAATGAAGTTCATGTCTGTAATGTTAGAGTAAGTAGAAGACAGGAATTAACTGTGAGGAATTGATAATAAAGCTAAAGTTTCAACTTAAACCTTAACTTGTCCAAAAAAATCACGGTTTCAGTTGTACACTATGAACGAGGCAGGGTTGAAAGAGTATCTATCTTAAAGGGGAGAAGCTTTATTGAAGAAACCCAATAACTTTATGATGACCAATAGGGGTATTAGAAGAGAAAAACAGATTTTGATCTTAAATTTAAAATTATAGAAATTAAGAATGAACCCAAAAATAAAATTAAAAGATCTATAGAGAAAGAAACGTAAGAGATTAAAGAAACGAGAATTTAGAGAAATATTTTAAGTCGAGGAAAGTTTATATATCATAATTAATATTTTATAAAAGGTTTTTTGTCGAGAGTCGAGTTAGAGGGGCTGAAATTGTGAAGAGATTTTAGGTAGCTAATTAAGGGAACAAAATTGTTATGGAAATTTGAATTTGTTTTATGTCGACATTTGAAGAGAAATTCGTTCCACCGATTCAATAGTTGGCTTTCATTATTTTTTTCTTCTAAGCATAAATCACATCTACCTCTAAAACTATTCAGACAGACGACCACTTTCGACCGTCATCTGCCGATATAGCCTATTCCCCATACGAGGTAAAAAGATTGGTTTGATTATTAATTATATTGGTTTGTATAAATAAAATACATCGAGGTCTTTTTTGTGGATCAGTTCTAATATTTTTTATATTTTTATATCACACGGAGCCACTGGGATTATACACCAACAGATTTGTACCATAGAGCATATATATTCTATCCTCTTGGAATTTTTCTTAAAAAATATACATGTCTGTATGCACCTATGTGTATATATATATATATATATATATATATATATATATATATACACACACACACGAGTCCTCCCAAAGAGAGGCTGGATTAAGTATAAATATGTAAACACTAAAACTGGTAACTGACTATTTTGCTTTCATATACATTAAATGCACACATTCATTCTCTCTTTATGAATGTATATATATATATATATATATATATATATATATATATATATATATATATACACACACATACATAGTGAGAAACTGTATATGAATGTATTTACGCTTTTATTTGTGTCAGTGCACTTGCGTATGCATTTAATCGTGTGTGTGCGTGTATAACACACACGTGTGTAAATTGTTCCCGCCCTTTTCCGTGAATCTCTTTCGTCGGCGTTCTGAATGCCTCTGAGGTGATCACACTAATTTCTTTCATTTCGAGGCCCTTTCAATTCTGACTAACTATTTCCATAGAATTTCAACAGAAGGAAGAAGGCTGATGCGTAACTTTTCAAATAATATAATTACATCTATTTAACTTTGCCATTGTAATTGCCTGAAAAAAAAAAAAAAAAGTTAAAAAAGGAAGAGGAAAAAAAAAAATCTTTCACTCGAAAGCCTCTCCCGCAACACTCTTTCATCCTTACTATTTCTCATTCTCTCGATTTCCGTACATCGCTCATAAAACTCAAATTTTTGCATATATTTTATTAAAATTATTTTCAAATATATCCTATTCATAACATTCTGGGATATGCTATTTTTATTTGTTGAATTTTTATTTGATGATCAGTAATTTAAAAACGGAAACCGCGTCTAAAATTATTACTGTCGTCCGTTCTTGAGCGTCATCGCCAGTAGTTACTGGCAGGTACGACTGGAGATTAAGTGACAGCAAGTCACCACAATACTCCATCTCTCTTACTATCCAAGCTGTTTTCAGTAAAACTGTCATGGTTGCCACCTATATTCTTTTTATGTACCGTCTCCTTTCAGGACGTAGGCGAACATGGGCCTCCACGTCCCCCTATCCCAGGTTTTGTGAGTCTGCCAATTTCCCCAGACCACGCTCCGCCATCCACCTGGCCAAGCCCGCCACGTATGTCATGCGCTGTACGCAATCATACTTTCCTCAGATTTTCGCATCCGTTGTAAATTAAGATTTGTACTGAACTCAAGTGGTAGCAAGACATCCCATTACTACAGAACTACTCAGTATTCTAGTTGATTTTAACATCTCCGTGACTTTGATGTTTCAATTTCCCGCTCTCCCCATCTAAATTTATTATCTTTTTTCCTAGTCACTACAGACCTGTTCCTTTTTGATCGCTCGAAAAAACAAGATATACTTCGTTTAAAACAAACACTCAAGGAAACACACACACACACACACACACACAAAAGGAAACACACAACACACACACACAAGGAAACACAAAAGGAAAAACACACACACACACACAAAGGAAACACACAAAAGGAAACACACACACAAAAGGAAAACACACACACAAACACAAAACAAACACACACACAAAAGGAAACACACACACACACACACACAAAAGGAAACACACACACACACACACACACAAAAAGGAAACACACACACACACACACAAAAGGAAACACACACAAAAAAAGGAAACACACACACACAAAACACACACACACACAAAAAGGAACACACACACACACAAAAAAACACACACAAAAGGAAACACACACACAAAAAGGAAACACACACACAAAAGGAAACACACACACACACACACACAAAAGGAAACACACACACACACACAAAAGGAAACACACACACACACACAAAAGGAAACACACACACACACACAAAAGGAAACACACACACACACACACACACACACACACAAAAGGAAACACACACACACACAAAAGGAAACACACACACACACACAAAAGGAAACACACACACACACAAAAGGAAACACACACACACACACACACACAAAAAGGAAACACACACACAAAAGGAAACACACACACACAAAAGGAAACACACACACACACACACAAAAGGAAACACACACACACACACACACAAAAGGAAACACACACACACACAAGGAAACACACACACACAAAAGGAAACACACAAATTAATCTACTATTTATTGAGTTAGAGATCATGCTGGATACAAATACAGGAAGCACACTATGCATAAATCCCATTATGATAAGAGTATACCAGTCAATTCTTTCCAGCCATATATGCTCGATATGACATGTTTTGATAAAATCTTGCAAGTCGGGTGCAGTTAGAAATTCATTCAGGTTGGATAACACAGTTTGCCCCGATGGTTGCAGATTGATGATGTTCCAATAATGTGTAAGAGATTCCCAAGTTAGCTTGATTAAAAAAAAAAAAAAAAAAAAAAAACTTTCTGGATACGATGTTCACCCCCACAACACTCCACGCATAAGGGTTACACAGTACGCCAGTGGGTTAAATGACCAACAAGTTGAAGTCAAGCAACTGAAGAGCAAATTTGTTATATCGGTGCTGTATGTACTGGAGCCATTTTATTTCATCAAGAGAAATTATTCACATGTTAACATCTCCAATCAATTGATCAAAACGTATGAGGGCGATAACTTGGGCATATTTATCTCTTTTCGCACAGTTGTCATTTTCAACTTTCTGATTTTGACGCCAGTTTTTTTGTTTTTTTTTACGACGGATTAAACGCGACATTAGTCTTCTCTGATCCGCCAGCTATCTTGCTTTGACACTAAACGACAATAGATGAAAAAGAACGGTCTCAAAGATACAATTAGGAACCTTGAGTGGTGCTGGATTCTGTATCATTCGGCGGTGCCCACGAGGCTATTGCACGGGCCCTGATGACAATATCAGCCACAAGACAGACGTATTTCTTAACATTATATACTTTGACTATAATATGTTCATAATGAACGGCCACGTCATTTAGACCGTTTCTTTATCTTCAACAGTGGTGTTTGGTGGCCTCATGGACACGTTGCGTGTTGTTTTTCATCAATTTTCTGGTTTGTAGTGGTACAAATTCTCGTTGTCTTCTAGTTCAAACTTCCTGCATTGGCACCAGTAAAGATGAGAGATTACTTTACCATAAAGGCACTTGAATTCTTTTTGTTCAATCATTCCACAACAGCTAATGATATCTGTTCTATGAAGTGCCCCTATTGTTTCAACAAAAAACCTCAAGAGAAAAATTAACAGACCATGATTGTTGCTTTTGGGTGGGTATGCAACTGATATTCACAGTAACATTTGAATTCTATAAAGGTCATATGTCTGCTTTTAGTTGGTGAGAATCTCATTCAACTGCGTATGTATATGCGAAGATAAAATCTATGTAAAGTGTAAACCGATTAAATAGAGAGTTTGAAAAACTAAAATTATGCCACCCTTATAACATTCTGAATAATAATAATAACTACTAGCAACAACTACTAACAACCACAACAACTACCAACAACAACTACCAACAACAACAACAACAACCACAACAACAACTACTAGCAACAACAACAACTACTACCAGCAACAACAACAACAACAACAACTACTACCAGCAACAACAACTACTACCAGCAACAACAACAACAACTAGCAACAACAACAACAACAAGCAACAACAACAACAACAACAAGCAACAACAACTAGCAACAACAACAACAAGCAACAACAACAACAACAACAACTACTAGCAACAACAACAACAACAACTACTAGCAACAACAACAACAACAACAAGCAACAACAACAACAATAACTACTAGCAACAACAACTAACAACAACTACTAGCAACAACAACTACTAGCAACAACAACTAACAACACTGTATATTAAGTGACAGTAAGCCTCTTCATTGCTGCCGTGCTATTGTTATAGCAATGTCGTTTCCACGAATCATTGTTTTTTTTTTACTTCTGGCTATGGACCTATGTTCTTTCGTATTGTTCAGTTCTCCTAAACCGACTTGCAATACTTTATTCTTCCCGTTTCACAATTCTCTCTGTTCCCTCACAATGTTGAGATTGCATTTTAGAATCTTTTCTGTGCTCTAAAAAAAAACGAAAGACATCACGCGTCTTATTTGCTTCCTTCTTGTTTACTAATTCGAAAAATTCTAGTTTTGTGGTTTCGAATGAATGATCCGTTTCGGTCAAAGTTCTGGAGCATTTTAGCTTGAATTTTCTATCGCTGATTATTATTTATACATGTTCCATTGGACAGTGTAGTCAAAGATATAGTCACATGCAAAACTTCTCAATCGTTCACGTTCCCTGACCATATCTTTTTCAACCAGCTTTCCTGGTCATGAGGATTATTTTATTTGCATTATTTTTCTCTGACAAAGTTTTCACCACTTTTCGGATTATTCTTTCTCCTTACACGCTTCCTTTTTGTAATTGTTCAATTCGCTTTATCCCTGTCTCTTCTATCAGTCACCGTACGACTTCAATTTCCAAGACTTGTGTTCAGATTGCAAAGGGTCATAGTTTGTTATTAATGCTTCTTCGTTTTGCTCTAGCCTTCTACCAAAAAGTCATGATAGCTCAACACCGTTTGTTTTCTATTTTATTTTCCATCAATATGGTGGGGTATGTCGTACCCCAGAGTGTTTGTATTGGAAAATGGGACAAAACTTTGCATGTTTCTAACTCAAAATTTATTCTCAGGTTTGTGCATGTATCATTCATTTAATCGCATGAAAACACTTTCACCCGCAACTCCCAGCAAGTATTTAGGCATAATCATTATTTTGAATGTATTATGGGTCTGTTGTTGTATAGATTTCTTGAGTAACAATGAAGAACGCAGGTCATGTCACAAGGAACACGAATAGACTATTTTTCGAAGTCGGTTTGGTTTAATTTGTTTTATGGCATGTCAACCTCAATGGGTTATTTAATGCCGACAAGATTTTTATTGCTGGTAATATTTTTCCTTTAAAAATGTGTTGCTGGTAATAATGTTTTTCTCCAAAAATTTATTGCTGGTATTAAACATTTTTACAATTTCATAGTGTTTTGACCCCAGTTTGGGGTTTAACTATTTACCCATAGCTGGGACCCTAACAGGTGCTACCGCCATGTTCAGGATAAACCTAGGAACACCAGCAATTAAAAGTTACTGATACACGCTCCTCAACGCCTCCTGATCAAAGTCCTTGCTGTTGGATATAGTTTATCGTCTTACCCAGGACGGAAGTCTGTTTGCTTTATCCAATAAGGCAGATCTTTTTAACGTTTACAAAATGTATTTTACACCAAGATGGTCCAAATATCTCTAAGTTCATTGAGATTGAGCCAAGAGCCCAATTATTACCGGGATGAATAACATTTTTGATCGGCATTTTACACATGCTGTCAATCCGAACATTCAAGTTTGCTTTGCTGCCATATTGTAGTCAGCATAGATGGCCACATTAATTATTTGGCATTCATTTTCAGTTGTACTGAGAATGACTATATCTGGTCTTCGGTTATCAATAATTCAGTCTTATTTGTATATAGAATCAAAATTATATCGTTAATTACTAGATTTGGCTTAGTCCAGCACAAAATTGAATAAAAGATCAGTGTGTTGACTTATTTACACAGGTAAAAGGCAAAATGGTAGAATTTACATGAGCTCGACAATGTTCACTGGTAAAATGTAACTTCTACGTCGGATGAGAAATATTAAAATAACGCGATTTGTGTTTGTAAAACTTACATCTTTTATCTGATTAGAAAGTGGTTTTGTTTGTTTTCCTTTTTTAATCAATTCATTACAAGCAAGGTAATAACGCCACTAAAAAGCAAGGGGCTACTGGGAATGAAAGAGAATAAGGCTTTAGAAGGGACCAAACTCTACTCCTGTTTAAAAGACCGAGGAGGAGAGTGAACCTATCTACTATTGAAGTAGGAAATAAATAAATCCTACTTATTATAAGACCCAGGTTGTGTGTGTGTGTGTTTATATATTGAATCGGATTTCCTACATTTTTCAACCGATTTCAACAAAACTTCACAGGACTACGTAAAATTACCTTGCGGTGGTTCTGACAGCGCCCAAAATTGGAAAAACAATTGTTTTTTGCACGAAATCAATTTGAAAACACGATTAAGAGGCATCACTGTCGCGAGAATGAAAGGGGGACAACTTATATCGAGTAATACTTATTATAAAAACCCAGTGTGTGTGTGTGTGTTCGTTTATATATGGGATCGGATTTCCTACATTTTTCAACCGATTTCAACAAAACTTCACTTTTTTTGGCAGGTTGTGTTTCTTATTGTCTTGCACACTTTCTTTATTTTTACATTCAGAATGCTTTAAAAATTCCATTTACAAGGCAATTGTTTATAATAAAATTCTATTCAATCGGTAGACTCATAACGATTGAAAACAATGTTTTTGTTTGAGTTTGACCAATTCGTAAAAAAAAAAAAAAAAAAAAAAAAAAATGTAATTAAGACATGCGTGTCCGTCAACCTTAAACAATCATTATCAATTTTATTTTTCAGTCTTTATGATGGTCGATACTTGATCTATCTCTTACTGTTACATCCCCGAACAACGCCGGGCTCTACTGCTAGTAGTAAATATAATTCCAGAGTTTAGGTGGAAGCGTTAAAAGTATAGATTTGAAGTAGGCTTTAGAAGGAACCGGAATCAAGGAATGAACCTCTACTCCTGTTCAAAGACTGGGGAGAAATTTGAAACTATTTCCTCCTACTGTTCTATCTTTGAGGGATTTTATAGATAACTTGACAAGAGTATAGTTTGTTCAACGGTTAACAGTTAAGTAAACTGGTGAACCAAGTTCAAATTCCACTCTGTAACAAACCCATGAGGAAAATCGTGACTATCTCGAGGTCAGGTTAAGTTTTCCTCCATAAAAATAGTAACTTATTACCAAGTATAAGGTTATTGTCAATTGTTATTAGGAGGGGATATCGGCTACTGCAAGCATTATATTTGCCTCGAGTAATATCAAAAAGAAGTCAGTATGTGTCATCGAGGTCATGGGGGCAATCTTATTTGATTTATGGCATATAAACATGAAAACACGTAAAATCTGATCATTGTTTTCAATTGTCACATTTAACTGATCATATGGAATTCAATCCCAAATATGTCGTAAGCGAATCATTTTTTGAATTTTTAAATTTAAACGAAAATCATCCTATATTTGTAAACAAATTTTAAATTTTTAAATGAATATTATGCTATATTTGCTAACGTTAATCTCACTCATCAGATTAAGTTCAATGTCAGATATAAAGTTTGTTCAAACGAAAACCTGTCATTTTTATTGCAAACGTGTCTAGTACTAGAAAATTCATATTCTACAAAAACACCGATCAAACGCGCGTCATACTGTGTTGAATTTCTAAAATTCTTTTCAGTCCGATATTAACTTTCTTAAAATATAGTAACTTTACGAAATGTAGCTTATATATGTGACATGGCCGAATTTCTGGAGCGTGAAGCGAATATTGAATTCGCTACTTACTCGTAATTTGTCAGGCAAAGCAAGCTTATCAGTTGCACCACGCTGAAATGATCTCGCCATCGGAATATATGTTTGAAACATATTTGAGCCAGAGTTTTCAGGACGCCCCGTTAATCTTCCTTTTCGCATTTCTTTAACTCGCGTGTCTCAGACACATACAGGCGTGACTGTAATAGTAGCTCGGAGGCATTGAAACTAAAATTTAAAATTAAGACAAAGAAAATTCTCAAAAAGAAAATACGTTCATGATCATCCTTAGAATACTGCTGTCACATATGGTGCGGTGCCCCAGCTATTTTGATAAAATTCAAAGAATTAGTAATATTATTGGCCCTGCTCTGACATCTCAGCTCTAGTCTCCTTTCCACCGCCCTAATCTTGCATTGCTGTGCCTTTTCTATACATACTTTCATGGTAATTGTTTGGTTGAGCTCTTCGCTATGATATCCAGACTCTTTAGATTAAGCGACGAGGCCTCCACAATTTACGGAGGAGTTGGCTAGATGTAACCGTAAATTCTATGCTAACAGTACCTTTTCTCGTACTTCTCGTTTGTGGAACTCCCTTCCGACTCCATGCCTTCTAATCAACGTTAATCTGCAAAAATTTAAATGCAATGTCAGTCGCTATCTGGTTATTTGTACCCGGCTTCTTAGCAATGATTCTGTTCATAACTATTTCGCACTCAGTAACCCCTTGTGTCTCAGTGACTTTTACGCCTTGCATATGATGAACTAGATTGACAAAAAAAAAAAAAAAAAAAAAAAAAAAAGACCAAAGTCAGGCAAAAAAACTAGAACGCTTTTCAAGCTTTGAAGAGAGACGTTCTCCTCTGACAGATTTATCAGAAATAGTCACTTTGTGGAAAAAGGTACTTCTAAATATTAAACACTTTACATTCAATGAACAATCGTTATCTTGCGTCTATCGTCCACTCATTTCACACACATACGACTCCTCATTACCATTTCGACTGTAACATTAACTTGAGTAGCTCTCAAGCTATATATTGGAATGTAATTTGTAAAAATAAAATAACGCAAAAAAATTTTGGAAAACGTGTTGAAAAAGTCACGTCCACACATTTTTTTTTTTTTTAAATACCCAATTTTATTGCAATAATTAAAAGATATTTGGTTATTTTGTCAGATTTGGGGGTGGGTAGGCTGTAAACGTTGGGCAAAACCTTCCACTCCATAGAAAACCTCAAATCAACATCTAAAATTATGGAAGCAGCTTAGACAATAAAAGAAATAAGATGAATGATGATTTATATCTTTTGTAGTTATTAATAATGAAAGATTTATTTGTTTTGTTTTTTCACTCGCATACACAGTAAAAGTACACTTTGGACTAATTAGGACTTCATTGGGATTTTTTTTTTTGTATTATGGTGCCACAGAGGTAACTATGAAATGTGGGTTAGAGTGGGGTGCAGAATTAATTTCAACTTCACCCACAGCGTCGCGAATGAGTCCAAAATTTTATTGTCGATAACTCCAAAACGCTAGATTTTATCAACATTTCTTTATTTTCGAATTAAACATGTACATTTACAGCTAAATGGAATTATTCGGGATTTTTTTTTTTGTTAGAAACTGAGCGCGGGGCTTGAACTGCAAATTACCCTAGAGTTGAAATTAGTTCTGTCACCCGGTTAGATTAATGACGTAGAAATTCAAATGAGCCTGTCGAGTTTAAATTTAAAGCTAGTTTGCTCTGTTCAGGTTCGTTTTAATGCAATTCACTAAGCTATAGACTGGGCTCTCAAGGCTCAGAGAGCGACCCTTTTAAGACCTCTAATATTTACCTCTAAGGTCACTATTGACAATGAATGAATACTTGATCGCCACTCTCTGCTGATGCGATGTCATGTTAACTCGGAAACTAATCTAGCTGTCTTTGACAGTCTAAATAGCTTAGAGAATGCAACGAAAAATCACTCGATTATCTTTACAAGAATGGATGGCAGTTCATAGATTAAGAAAACTGATATGTGGAGCGTTATGTTTGCCTAAGTCCTGAAGGGATAGATTGATTAGTTTTTTTTTTTTTTTGTTACGGTTTTGGAACAGTTATTTGGATTGAAAGAAACGATAATGTGAGTGAATATTGCATTAATTAATACAGCTATTTACTCAGCGCATATGTAAAAGAAATAAACCTTAAAATTTCAGTCAAATAAAATTAATTCTATTTTTTAATCATTTTCCAAGCAAGGCAATAAAGCCACTAAGGCACAGATGCTGAGTGTGAAAGAAGAGAAAATCAAAAAGCAAAAAGTCAGGAGAGTTCACAAGCGAAAAGTACGAGAGAAACTGTTAGCATAGAATTTATAAAAAGGAGATAAGGACATTGACAATTATTGTCTAATCAAATTAAAATCGAAGCTACAAATCTAACAATTACCTTAGATGAACATCACCTATATTAAAAGTCGTTGTTCAAAAACGGAGTCTGCAAAAGTACACATTTTGGATTACCCAGTTTGTTACTCAAAGAAGTCGTACTCTTTGATCACTAGATGGCGTTGGCAAAACAACATAAGAAAATGGGTTGTACATCTTATTTTTTCTTTTCTATTCTCCAGACGATGACTTACAGATAGGGTATGCCGCGTTCCTCTAAGGGGACTGAGTCGCAAGTTAACCTCTTGTCGCATTGGTCACAACTCAGATAAGAACACATGAAATGAACTAACCGTAGCTTACTGCACACAGGAATATCTAACAATTATATAAAAGCAAGTGATAAAGAATTCTTTTCAAATCAAAGTTTATAGCAATCTTTAATAAAAAAATTTCATGCACGCACATGTTAAAAGGACTTCTATGCATAAACAGTAATTCACCTCTTAATTTTTCGTTTAATTTGCTCAAGCTAAAAACTATGCTCTTGCTAATTATCCCTAATCATTTTTATATTCGTTCTCACTCTCTTGAGTTAGTTTACTGTACGCCGTGGAATTATCATAGAAATGTTCAATAAATTGTAAAATTCCTTCAACATATAATTGATTAAAAATAAAGCATAGAATAAAACGAACCATAATTTCCTCCTTTGTTGGTTGACCATGCAAAGATCTAACTGAGAAGTTTAAGTCATTACGCAAGCACATAATTTTACTAATGTTCATTCCTATAAAAGACCCAAGAGGCACTCAAATTAGAGGGTTACTAAAGGTGGTGGTTACGTGAACGGTAAGAATAAGTGGCGCAATTTATTCGGATATATATGAAGGAAAAAGGTTAAGGAAATTGACTTGAAAAGGTCAAGAAAATTCTTATCGAGAATCTAGGCACTAACGACCCAATGGTAAATAATGGATGGATGGATGGAAAGATTTAACGGCATGTCAAAATTAAAAGGAAAAGAACAGGACACGATATGATTTAAGCCTATATATATATATATATATATATATATATATATATATATATGTATGTGTGTGTGTATATAAATTATTTCAGAGTATAAAGGAACAAAATAAAAAAGACAAGAGGAAAAACCGACGCGTTTCGCCCTCTGTAAAAGAACTATACCCGTCGGCTACAAATAGCTTTCCTTGTTCCATTTTAAAAAAAAAAAAAAGATTAATTTTTGCTTCTTCAAATTGAACGTAGTTCATAGATGATCAGAGTAAAACCCACAAACCTTTTAACTTTTTTTTGTAAAAAAAGACGTATTTTGCTTTTAAATCTAAATTGTTCAATCGCCAGTAATCTACAATCGCCTGATGAAATGCAGTATTACGCATCGAAACACGACTGCAATTGTGTAGCGATTTTGACAGGTTTTTGGTGTAATATAAAACATGGAAGGATTGACAAAATAAAACAAAGAAAAACCAACACTCACTATCAATTCCGAACAGGGCCAAAATATTCTGACTTTGTAAAATAAACATTCCCGTCACAAAAGATACGCATATATAATATTCGGGATATTCAGTTAATTTTTTTCTAATAGAACAGGCTAAAGGGCTCGGATACATAAGACATTTGAACAGTTTTTACAAACTATGTCAAGAAAAGAAAAGCTTAATAGCAGTACCTTGTAAATCCTTTTTAATGAAAGAGACACACATTAATATATATATATATAAAAACTGGATTCTAATGCTACATATGGAGCAGCTTCGGGATAGAAGACGTGACACATTGGGGGGGGGGTCAGTCTCGAATGAGCCACACGACGGAATTTGTGAAGAGCTGGTTTGTTACCTCTCCGGCACCGAAATCCGTTGGCCCAGTGGGTATGACGGTTGCAGATACAGAATACCTGAATGTTTATGGGTATATATATATATATATATATATATATATATATATATATATATATATATATATATATATATATATATATATATTTACAGAGAGAGAGGTTGCGATTGGTAAATTGTCGTCATTTTAATGTTGTGCATGTGCGTTGTTAATTTTCATTTTGTCGACCGCGCAGTATATTAGGGTCAGTTGGGGACTATCTGTGCAAAAAGATGCACCAGAAATTTGAAAAAAAAGGCATGCTGTACTGCTTGACATTAACGCTCCAACACGAGCAGTTCAAAATGTGTGGAACAAAGCAAAAGATTCAGAAATAATTATTTGAGTAATGGGGATTACGATGGTATCGTAACTCGGAAAACTTACTGATCGTTCTGATGAGGAAAGAATTAGCAAATTTGTTGGTGAGGGCCTCAAACTTATAAGGGCAGCCAAATTTGAGGAGGTAGTGATGCCTGGGTCAAGAGGGTGGCTGCTGGATGATGTTATGTCAGCCAACATGACTGCATCATGCCACACAATCAAGAGAACCCAATCATAGCTGTCAAACATTTGAGACAACATCACACCATAGATCTGGTCACCTAGACTGCAACCCCCTTGATTATTATGCGTGGGGCGCAGTTGAGCGCGTGACCAACAAAATTCCTAACAGCAATGAGGAATTGAAATCAAGATTATGGCAGCATTCACCAACTTAAACAAGGCGATTCCCCAGAAGAGGTACAAGAGATTACGGAGTCGTCTGGACGCTGTGGTTGATGCCAAGAATGAATTTATTGAATACATTTACTCTTTTGTATTTGAAGTTAGTTTTGTGTAAATTCGGTAAATGTATCTGTTAAAATGAGATGTCAGTGCCGTTTTCATTTTTGCGTAATTTTGACAATTTATCTATTGCACCACTCGCGCGCATTATATATATATATAAAGTGTATTTTGCACTTGCTTCTTAGTCAAAAATTAAACTGCATATATCGATGATAGGTGATATTCGTTAATACACGAATATAGCAGAAGTTTCCAGGACATTTAGCCTCCACTCATTCCATAGTATCAAATTGCACAACCCTTCTCCGTTCTAGAGTTCTAAGTACCCGATCATGGGGATACATAAAACTTAAATGATATTTCAGTTTTCGTATTTACTTCTAAGACTTGATTTAGTTAAATGATTGTTTATAAAACGGAAAACTGCGTCTGAAAGGAAGAGGGTACTTTTTCCAAATTATTTTCGCCTTGCAAAATATTATGACTGTCAGAAGTTGTTGAGAAAGTCATTGAATATCAGCTAAATTAACCCCACGCAGTACTGGCAATATTTACATGGCCCCAGGGTAAAAATACTAGCAGGAAGAGAAGAAATGCCGTTAATTTGCTTATGGTCCAATTCGATTTATCCACTCGCCTGCCAACAGTCAGTCATTATTTATAGATGAAATAGCTAAGGAAGGAAGGTAATAGACGTGCCACGTTTTCTACCCTCTTTGCTTTGTTCCTGTCGGTTGTATAATAAGCTACACAATGGAAGTACAGAACCCATCCTTTATCAAAACTGTCTTTCCTTGCCTTCGGGCAAGATGATATTCCATTTTGTGAGAAACAAGAAGAGAGTGTAAAAGAGTGATTATTCCTCTTGTCATTGACATCTGTGTAAACTCCAGCCTCTTAACAGAAAATAGGTTGGTGGTGGAATGAAGCTATAAAAACACGGCGTGAAAGAATGGTATGTACGTAATTCAGATGCCTTTAATTTATGACTAGAAGTTAGTCACACAGAATTGGTATGGTGACATTAAGTAACAGTCAAACAAAGGAGTATGCAGACGGAACACACTCTGCCATACTAATTGTAAACATTTAGAGTGTGAAACAAATAAATTTTGCACTAAGAACTGTCTAGAAGGCTTTAATTTATTTTGCCATTCTAAAGAGAAGAAAAGCGGAAAAAAATGAAAAAAAAAGACGAATCATTAAATAGAAAGGAAAATATATTTTCACCAGTAGTGGGGGAGAGCCAAATGATGCATGCTCTAAATCGGGGAAGTCATCAGCCAAGCAAACAAATAGATTTCGGTAGTTTCATAACAGTGAAACATGTACTACATAAAACCGAAGTCACATCGAGAAAGTTCTCTTTTAGTAACTAAGCTAACTACTAAAGAAAAAAGTATAATTAAAAATAAATAAATAAAAAGTTTTGGTTTGGTTTATTTTGTTTTACGGCATATCAACCTCAATGGGTTATTTAATGCCGATAACATTTTTAGGATAGATTTGTATGAATAGAATATGTATTCTTTGGTTTAGGTTGGATTGGTTTATTTAGTTTTACGGCATATCAACCTCACTGAGTTATTTAATGCCGACAACGTTTTCTATTGCTGGTAATATTTTGTTTTGTCAGAAATCTGTTTCTGGTAATATGTTTCTTTCAAAATTGTATTGCTGGTAATAAATTTTTTTCACAAATGTATTGCTGGTAATAGTTAACTATTTGCCCATAGCTGGGACCCTAACAGGTGCTACCACCCTAGATCAGGCTGGACCTGGGAACACCAGCAATTAACATAGGTACCTCCACGAAATCG